ATCTGACCCACCACCTGTTTCCGCATAGCCTACAAGCTAAGCATGTTTTCTTACATTTGTAAACAGTTGGGAGAAAAATAAAAAGAAGGATACTTAAGCATTAGTGAAAATTATATAAAAGAATCAATGTTCAGTGTCTATAAACAAAGTGTTATTGGAACACAGTCATGCCCATTCACATATATTGTCCATGGAAGCTTTCAGCTACAATGGCAGAGTTAAGGAGTTGCCAGAAATCATAAGTAGTCCTCTCACTGTGCATTACAAATCACTGACTATATGGACTTTTACAGAAAAGGTTTGCTAACTTGGGAATAGTTAATATAATAATCCATCATTTCCTGAAGAATTTAGCACAATAGAAGCCTCTGTGATTCTGAGCTATCAACTAACTTACTAAACTTCTTCAATTTTACCATGATAAAGATATCTTTTTACTTCTTGTATACTTATAGTAATGTATTAATTTTTAAAGGTATTTAATAAAGTGTACTCTATAAAACTGCAAAGGGACAGTTTTCATTCATTCCTTCATTCAGTTAACAAATACCTACTGTATACCATGAAGACTGCTAGGAATTCAAAATAAATAAAATGTAATTTCTGGCTCTAAGGAAGTCACATTCTAGTAAGGAGACACAGTACTCTAGCAGAGGTTTTTGTCACTAAAGGGAAAGCCTAAGCAACAGAAGTAACCTCTACCTTTTCACAATGACATATTGTCATTTAAAAACATCATCTCTATCTGAGTTAATGGCAAGTTATACACTCAAATAGATAAGGCAACAAAGTCTGGCAAATACCTTTATACATCAGTAGTTTTAATCAAAGCATTTGCCTTATATAAGTAATTAACCTTGACCACCACAGAAATAATTAAAAATGCTAATTAAGAATTTACTAATTATCCTCCCAACTTCAGAAGTTAGCTGGCATCTGGCCTTTAACTATGATAGACATACACCAACTTATCATAGGTTATTTACACATAAATGAAGAGAAATATTAACTGAATGGCTAAAAATGAACATGATAAACATAATCGTTAAAAACACATGACTTGTTTTGTTTAGAAAGCCCAAGTGTCCTACAAATGTCACTTAACTTAGAAGAACATTTGTGAGAATAATTGTCTCTTGAATCTGCTCAGAGATTCAATCTATTGTAATAAAGGAAAAACATATAAATCATAAATGCATCAGCATTTCATCATAAGAATGCCAGGATCCGCATGCAGTTAAGTATCTTGGCTGTTTGCCTGCTTTACTTAAAACCAGAAGAGACGTAAAATCCCAATTACTAAGTCTTCTAGCAGCTGTTCTCAGCGGACAAGAGATGCTCACCCAGCAGCTACCTCCAAATATACAGATACATGCACCCAGTGATTGGAGGTTAGCAATCCTGGTGTGTCTGCTCGCTCTTAGTACTAAATATTTAATGGCATGTTTTTCCTTAATAGAACCCAGGCACATCTGATCAGTCACTAGGATCATTTAGTAATGCAGTGGAAGTTATCATACTGCCATTTCACATCAAATTTGTAATTAGGTAATTCATCACTTTATTAATTCAAAGGATTGCTCTCTTTACTACTTTATAGCATGCTACAGCAGTGAAACCCAACTGAACTGATCGACAAAAAACTCTGAAATTTGTTCCTATATGGAACCCTTGTAACCCTCAAGTGGCAAATACTCACACCCCTGACCTTTCAAAATAACAAAGGTGACTGTCTCCCCACAAATGAGCCTACCAGCAACACTAAAGTAATAAAATACCAGCAATGCGGTATGAGAGGGCCAACAGAACTGAAAATTTAAAATTAAAAACTGAGCATATCATCAACAACTTGTTCTTGCTTCTGATTGAAGCACGTCACTCCTCAACAAATAAAAAGGACAAAAAGCAATTATTTAGTAATTTTTCCTCCACATACTCTACTAACATTAGGACATTATGGCAGAACATCACATAGATTATTTATTAACACTCTGTGTCTAATGGCATATACCAGCCAAATGCAAGTATGTAATCTTGAATATAACATCATTTTCTAACATATCTCAATAAAAAAGTTATTATTTCTTTTCATATTATAAGCAAGCAAGATTTTTGTTTTAACGCATTCTCCACTGTTAATCTAATAAAAAAGAATTCTCCAATAAATGAATTTACTAAGAATAAAACTGAAAGTAAAATTTAAGTATCACAGTACAAAAAAATACTTTCCAAAATCCTCACTTTCAAAGTGGTACAATCGCAGTGTATGTTGCAAAACCAGCTGCAACTAACAGCATTAAAAATTCGAGTTTGGAGGTCACATATGTGCCCTAAAGAACACAAATAACATGCTACCAGGAGAATTATTATTTTGTTTGAAAGGAAAAGGGAAGGGACATCTTCCCAAACAGATGAAGAATTTCTAATCAAAAAAACTGTGGCAGTTGTATAGTTTTATGACGTTAACAAGTACTTTGCCAAGCTCTGGAAACACTAACAATGACATGTTTTGTGGTCAGGAAGGTCACTTTTATTCTTGCTGCTTCCAATCTACTGTGTTTTGAAAAGTTTCATGCAACTAGTTTATTTTCTGCTTTATTTTTCAGATCTTATTACAGTTCTAGTCTACCAAATACATTTTTAGAAAAGGAATTCTAAGTCCAGAAAAATATAATTAAGTAGTTTTCTACAACCTATATTCAGTACACAAAAAATAAGCTCAAAACTAGGACTCCTGACATTAAGTTTAGGTTATTAATAACCATTACCAATTATCAATGTAATAATTTTCAATGTACATTCTGAGGGATGGAACAGAAAAATACTGTACATTCAATGCCATTTCAGTGAATTATATGACAACTGAGTAACTTTTATATTTAATTCCATCTTTTTAAGATGCATGTGAAAGAAACACTTCATTCATCAGAGAAAGCTTGTTTTTACATTTCCTACACGATATCCCAAGGAACTACGCTGAAATCACAGAGTTGTTATGAATGCAGGACACAGTATGTGATTTCTGTCCACAACAGCTATGGGCTGAAACCAAATCAGTTACTAAGGGAAAGGTACTTTTTCCTGTTTGCAAAATTTCTTCTCAAACAAGAGAGATAATTATCAGCATCTCAAGAGACACCAGCACTGGGCACAACTCTGAGCAAGCATCAGAGACTCTGGTTGACAATCAGCCATAGGTTGCTCTATGTGACAGCACAGGGAGACATAAGACACTGAAGTCCTACAGTCGAATATGAATAAAGCTGGGAGCAGGGGCCAGCAGTAGTAGTGTGAGGCACTCTAAGTACTTTCACCTGTGAAGTTGATATTATTATTCCCATTTATAGATGAAGAGATTGAAGCTAAGAGAATTTCATTTACTTGCCTATGAAAGCAATTTAACCACCATACTATTCAGCGTCCCATTTAAATCTGTCCTCCCTCTCCTATTTTGTCAGGTTTTAAAGTTTATATTTATTATTATTCATATGTACATTTTCTATATTTGTAATAAATGTTTAGAATTCAATCAGTAGATTGATCCATTGCAACTGTCATGTTGAGATAAACCCATTTTGAAATCTATCAGAAAATTGTGTTTGAGGATAGAAGTGGGGGGGAAACTGTGGGATGGGAAGGGAGGGGCCTGCAGAGGTGGAGGCACACACCTTCTCTTCATTAACAGTTTAACAAAGAGGTGGCAGACATGAATTTGGCCTCTATTCTGCACGAACATATAAATAACTGCATGTTTCCTGTTCTCTCACCAGCAAGTATCTACAAGGTACCTGCTACCCTTTGGCCATCTTCATCACTATCAGCGGCAACCATCACTTTCCTTAGCTCTCATACCTCATACCTTTATTTCCATTGAGCCACATACCCCCAAGTAACATACAATCTAAAAAGACAAAGAAAAAAAACACCAAAAAAAACCCTATGCAAATAAAGCTTTAAGTAAGGCACTTCAGTCTGTCCATCCAACCAGATGAACAACTCTGCAGCACTCCTTATACAGGAATTCTGCAGGTACTGTTACCCTCACACATTTTCTATTGCCAAAATGCAAAACCAGCATTTTAAACATCAAGCTTCTATTCAGAAGTTCTAAATATAACTGAAATACATATTCTCCCTTTTCAAATCTTCAGCAGAGGTCAATATATTTTTCTCAGCTCAGGGAGTTAGGCAATCAGCACCCCCTCAGTCCCCAGCCACATTTCTACACCACTGTCTGTAACTGGTTCCCAGCACCATCCTCTCTCCTGAAATTCCCAGAATCGATTTCTGCTTCCCATGTGAAATCCTCCTGGACCCCTCCTCTAGAAATATTTATCACTCCTATGTCTCATGTTACCTGAATTTTACAGCCAGGCAACAAATTCATAAATGGAGGGATATATTTATACAGCAAACTCCTACAATCTAAACTCCAATAACTCACAGATAAGAAGAGGCTAAAGGAGTTCATCACCACCAAACCAGTACTACAAGAAAAACAAACAAAACTCATAGACAGAGACAACAGTATGGTGGACCAGAGGGAAGGGGGATGGGGGGTAATAAAGGGTAAAAGGGGTCAAATATACGGTGACGGAAGATTTTACTTTAGGTGGTGGGCACACAATGCACTATACAGATGATGTATCATAGAATTGTACACTTAAGACCTACATAATCTTATTAACCACTGTCACCCCCCAAAATTTTAAAAACAGGATCCACTGCTGAAACACCATGACAAAACTAAATGAATGCAATGGCAGAGTATGCCTTGAGAGCTGACAATGAACATACCTGGTCATTACTAAGAACACTGATAAATCATTAAAAGTAAACACCCTCTTTAATATAAGCAATGCATTCTTTCATTCCCTACTCATTAACATAGGAGAGTGATATAAGACATAAAGGGTCCTGGATTTTCATAGATCGACAGGAAAATAAAGAGTGAAGAGTTGATTTATGGTATTAGCAAAGATACCAAACTTCACACTTACTTTTGCAAAGGCTTCAAAAATGTCAAAGGAAGGTGGCAGTTGAGAAGCATCTTGTATTTCTTCTCTCATGAAATGCTGAAATGTCATTTCAAGTTGCCTGAGGCCCTCTTTCTTATCTTCAGTCAGTTTGTTAATATCTTTTTTAAAGAGAAAATAAACAGCACAATCACACAGTGAACTTTTAATGGATAATTTTCAGGTGTTCAAAGGTAACTGTTAAACTAGATATTTCCTGCCCTAGATTCCATTCTGACAGAGAGCAAACACATCTCTCTCATTTTTGCCAACTATAAATCATGATATACACATTAGCAATTAAATTCTGCCGAAGTTCATCTATACTATAAGATCAAACACCTATCAAAACAAAATAAATACATTCAGATTTTAAAAATATCAGAAACAAAATCAGTAAAGACGTGTCACCAGATTTCCTATATCATCCTGTACACATGTTCAAACCATGATAAATGCTTATTAAATCAGTGAACATAAGCAGATTTTTCTATGAAACAATTGACAACAAGGTCATGACTATCTGAGAAATAGTATCATCTCACAGGGGAAAGAAACAAAAAACAGAAGATGGGAACTGAAAAGTTCAAACTGGTAAAATTTGTCAGAAAGTACATCAAGAAAACATAGACCAACCAAAGAAATCTCAACTTCAAGTTATTTCTTGGTTGAATAAACAAGATATGGTACTGCTTCAACTGAAACAGAAGAATAAAGTTCTAAAGCCATTATCACCTTTTTAAAAACTCAGTTTAATTTATACCACAAAGGAGTGTTAAGGTTAAGAGAGCACAATTCAATTAATAATGTTTGAGAGCATTTCACTTTAAGGCAGTGTGTACAACACTGCTACTGAGCAGGGCTAATGTTAATAATGAAACTCATTCCAAGATATGTTAATTACTTAGCAGTAATATATCAAGAAAAAAATGACTAAATAGTTCTCTAATAAAACTTGGAAAGATACATCAGTTGAACTACAGCATAACTCTGTTGCGCATGCCGGGTCTACACATTTTCTTTAAATTACTTGGTCCATAGGAAAATTAACCCAATGATTTCTTTTTTTCTCATTTTAAATTGTAGTAAAATATACAAAACATAAAATTTACCACCTTTACCATTTTTAAGTGTACAGTTCAGTAGTATCAAATGCACTAACACTGTTACACAAACATCAGCACCATCCATTTCCATAACATTTTTCATCTTATAAAACTGAAACTCTATACCCAGGAAACATAACTCCCTGTTCACCCCTCCCCACAACCCCCGGTAATCATTTTACTTTCTGTCTTTATAATTTTGATTACTCTAAGTACTTCATATAAATGGAATCACACAGTATTTGTCTTTCTGTGATTCGCTTATTTCACTTAGTATAGTGTCCTCAAGGTTTATCCGTTGTCAGAATGCCCTTCCTGAATAACATTCCATTGTGCATATATAACACATTTTGCTCACCCATTCATCCACTGATGGAACACATGAGTTGCTTCCATGTTTTAGCTGTTGTGACTAATAATGCTATAAACGTGGACGGGTAAATATCTGCTTTCAATTCTTCTGAGTGTATAATCTGAATCCAGGACCATATGGTAATTCTATCTTTAATTTTTTGAAGCACCTTCATACTGTCTGCCATAGCAGTCATGCCATTCTACATTCCTACCAGCAGTGCACAAGGGTTCTGATTTCTCTACATTCTCACCAACGCTTGTTCTTTCCCCTTTTTTTTACAGTTGCCATCCTAATGAGTGTGCGATGATTATCTCTCTGTAGTTTTGATTTGCATCTCTCTAATGATTGGTGATTCCTAAATAATAATTATCATTAGCAAATAGGATCCCATAACTGTAAGTCTACTAGATTTGTCTCCATCCAGAAATATTAAACTGTGTAGCAAATTTACTCTATGAGCTCTGGCTACCTTTGAGTTGAGGTCATTCACAACCTCCATGAAGAGCATCTGTGCCAGTATGAAAGAAAAAGGAACCCTACATTCACTTAACACTCAGGTTTGGAAGGCCTGTCCCTGTTCCCAAGTAGCCTGGCCATCAGGAGAAGAACAGGCTCAGTGCTGAGGGCCCGAGTCATCTGTATCCCTACCTCCCTCATTACCTGAAGGACCAGTGAACCTGAATGCTCCCTGGACCACGACACCACCCTGTTCACATCACTGTTCCCTGACATCAAAAAGAAACCAAGAGCGGCAAGAAGAAAATAAGGGAGGGAGAAGCACAAGAAAAATCATTTTGTCAACTGGAGTGGGGGTTACACTCTCCTCACTACCTCACCTGGCGCTTCACAAACTCCTATATGGCCAAAGCTACCTGGAATGAATTAAATAAGCTAATGTTCAAACTTCTTCACATATCAGAGACACAATGAAACAAAGCAATTCACCAGCTCAGCAATAATGGACAGGATGCTGATAGACAATCACTTACTTGATTCCAGATCATAAAATGAGTAAAGTTTCTCCGATTCAGAGGGGGTTTCTTCCATCTATGAAGTAAAGGCGGAAAACACCAAAACAATTTCAAGTTTTCCAATACATAAATAAATATGTTTGAGTATCTTTAGAGATTTAAATGAAAGTCTATTAAAAAGCAAATTTCTATACAGTATATTCCTTCTCTTCATCACTTTCTTACAGTTGAATTCTTTAATCAGTAACAACTTTAAAATGAAATAAACTTGTGACTTAACTACCAGCTTAATTTCCAAATGCAAAACTCTTTTACAAGTTTTCATAGGTTTATTTTTCCCCAGCTCTACCTATACAACTTGTGTCATTGAAAGGATTTTATTACAAATTATCATAAAAAAGCAAAGATAGATGAATAAAAATAATAACTTATTACAACCTGTACAACCCTGAGCTAGTTACTTAAACTTGAGTCAAGAAGAATCAATTTCCATATCTGGAATATGGGAATACTAATAGCACCTGATTCATTGGGCTGTAGTGGGATGAAATGAGGTATATCATGTACAGCAATGACCACAGGGCCTGGAACAGTAAGTGCTCAATAGAAAGTAACTATTTTACAACTGCTTTCTATTAGACTTTGATTCAGTAGATCAAGGGTGGTGAAGGAGAACTAGAACCATGGGTGATTCTAAAGCAAGCCATTTCTGCTCTAACAGTGGTTCTTTTATCTTTTCAATATTAATAAAGTAGAACAAAAGTTCACACTCAAATACAATAGTGGTTATCTTTTTAATATCCAGTGGTTAAAGAAATGCATAATGACAAAGCTGCTCTGATTTTATTAATGCTTTGAAATAAATTTGTATGTTTTAGTTCAATATAATGTACACATTTGAAAATGGTAGTAAGTATGTATGTTGTATATTCAGTCCAAAAACAATGCTCATTTGGTATTGCAAGTGCATTTTTTTAAATTAAGATGTAATTGAAATATAACATTGCATTAGCTTTAGGTATATAATCATACTTTTACATTCTTAAATACCCTTGTAAAATTTTATAGCCAAAAAAAAAGTCCATAAAAAAACAGGACAGAACAGAGCTGAAGACTGCAATAATTTGAGGAGATATTCATGCTAAAGCCTGACCCCAAAAAATCTGGAAGGTGTCACCAGAGGGGGATTTCACAGAATCCTCTAGCTGTTTCGGCAGAGTCAGGAAAAGAACTGAAGAAACAATTTCACTGAATCTTGACTGTAAATAAAAAAATAAGTACTCTTCTATGAATTATCATCAAATTAAAATCTCATTTGAAGAGGCAACAAAAAAAATTATAAACATGGCCTGTGCATTAGTTCACAGTAGAAAAGTAATAAAGTCAATGTAACAGACATTACTAATATCTCATGTGACAAATACAGGATCTTATGTCTCCAATCCCAAGAGATCACACCTGAGGCCTTCAAAGCGGGGCTGTGCACTTCATCACTGCCACTGATGCTGTGATTAATAGGAAAACAGCAACTTTTTGTCTTCAGACACTCCCTGGAATAGTCCACCTTCAACATTAACATGGGTTGAAATTCCCATGTTAAGAACGATACATGTGCCCTGGCTGGTGTGGCTCAATTGGTTGAGTGTCACCCCATGCACCAGAGATCACCAGTTAGACTCCTAGTCAGGGCACATGCCTGGGTTACTGGCTCAATCCCCAGCAGGGGGCATGCAGGAGGCAGCCAATTGATGTTTCTCTCCCTCTCCCTTCCTCTCTCTATAATCAATAAAAACATACTTTAAACAAAGAATACATGCAACTGAGAGTGCTTTTGTTAAATTAAAACCCAAGTGTATTTCACAAGTTCTATACTCACAAGTTTGACAACAACTCTGCCAAGAAGTCGGACAGAATCCGGAGGATATCTGGGTTTGCAGCTTTTAAGGCATTTGCATTCTCGCTTGTGGTCTGGCCAAGCTTTCTTCTGTTAAAATAAGAGTGGGGAGAGCACATAAGACATGTAAATTTAACTTTCATTTACACTGGTTTGAGAGTTATCAATATTAATTTCATTTCAACAGCCTAAATATAACTGCAAAATAGAAAATGAAAGCAATATTTTAAAACCATTAATGATCCAGGATTCAGCCTTTACCAAGTATGCAATTACCAGGCATGGGCATTAAGAGCTTCTGCTTCACCTCTGTCCTTTAATTTGCGTCCCCACCCCTGGTTATTACCTGGCTGGTAGAGTACAAAGAGAGAACCATTATGACTTAATAATTTATAAGATAGTCTTTTAGCTGATTAAATAGAATTCAATAATAGACAGCGATTTTGAATGCAAAAAGAAAATTCATTCCAAATTAGAAAATAAAACACATGGTTCAGGAAAATCAAAACAGGGCAGACAGCCTTCAGAATTTTCTGCTGCTATAGTGGGCACAGAAATATCAGGAAAGCTAACATAAAAAATTTAAACCTTTTTGGTTTTGAAGGTAACAAAAGATGTTATTAGCTAAAATGACCAAATGTCTGGTTTGCTCAGGACTGTCTTATTTATGTTGTCTTGGCCTAATTATTAATAATGCCCCTTTTCATTCAGAAAAGTATAGTTTGGGTGACAAATTATATGATCCTATGCCATGTGCTAGCCATGTGCTGGTGTGAGTGAAGAGACCAGTGAGCCAGACACAAATCTTGCAACACTAGGGATGAGAGGGCTAAAGGGAAGGACATTCTCTCTCTGAGTCTTGGGTCAGAAATGCCATGGCTCCCGTCATATGAATTACTTCTACATGAATATAAAGCCCAGATTATCTAATACTAACCCTGGAGAGTGGGAGACAGCTAGACCAAATGTCCAGTATGTTCTATTCCAACTGAGGTGCCCGATGCTCACAACTCTTATTTTAGAAATTGTATGTCTGCTTCCTAACTTCTGAGCCTAAAATTCCCCCTAGGAGGAACTCTCTTTTCCACTTATAGCACAAACATGCAGCACAACCAAAAATTTCAAAAAAGCTGCAGCTGCTTTGATACTGTGACTCAGATTCAAGTTCAAGCCAACATTTTGCTCGCAAAGACCACCCATATGAGTTGGGGGAAGGATTGGTTTTCTGCTGCTACTTCTAATGACCCAAATCCTGGAGAGATCATTTACAAACGGTACATCACTTCTTTCATCAACTCCCCTCATGGTTACCTCACTTCATTCCTTCATATTCACCGCAGCCATGTTCTTAATGTGATGTTTGTAATCTTTTTGCTTAGTCAATGTAAAACGTATAAATACGTTTCCCGCATACAATTTATACTTCTCACTTCTAAACAAGACTGAGCTGCTTCAAAGTAAAGATATGTTTAAAATAAGGTTGTAAAATTTAACAGAAAATGCTAAAATTATGAAAAAAGTCCTATAGCATTTACTTAACATTTTACAGTGTGTCAGACACATGACTAAGCAATTAAAAAGGAAGATTTCATTTGATTTTCACAATAATCCAAATGGTACAGCCTTCTATTAAAGATGAAGAAAATAAAGCTCAACAGCTGGGATCTAACTACTAAGCTACATAAATATGAAAGAGGAGAGTAAAAATTCTTAGTATGCTAAACATGAGAGCTAAATAATTACTGTGTTGTGAGCTACATTTATTTGACTTGCCTTACAGGCAAGGCAAAAAAAATAAAAGTATAATGGCTTATATAATTCTCATCTGACAGAAAAGAAAAAAGCATAGCTCTACCAAGTATTAAATCACAGGAGGCAATTGTTCTGAGAATGCTAATCAACATACTGGACAATGTCTTCAACAATACAACTATAATGGCCTTTCATACAGCTACTTCTGTCAGTACTCACTCAAAGGCATAATATTAAAATATAACTCAGTGGGGGGAAATGTTTCTACTGTTCCAGGGACTAGTCCTGGAATAACAATTAGCAATTACCAACATGTATAAGATCCCTTAAAAAATATAATTCTATTGTCAAATAAGTTTGAAAAACACAACATAATGAAGACTCCGCTTAGCAATTCAAAATACTATGTTTAGTTTACTAGAAGTTCTAAAAAGCTCTGCATTAAAGAAACTTATATGTATTAGTTAACATGGAGTTTCCCGGAATTGTAATTGCCACCCTTTGAGAAGTTAAGTTGGTATATCCTGACTCAGATATACCTATATACTTTCTTTCCTTCAGCTGGTCATGGAATGAGAGTGGGTTCAGAAGACAAATTCACAGTCATTTGCACTGAGAGGGAATTAGAGTGTTGATATTTTTGATTGCTGATTGAAGAGAGAACCCTTACTTTGGTTGAAAAGTTTTCATTTGGTATTAGAAGTCGAGAAACCTGACAGGTGCCCTCAGTGGACTGGCTGTGTGGGCGGGAATGGACCACACGGTGCCAGTTGGTCTCTGAGAAAGCACCTTTGGCTCCATTCAAAGCCTGAGTAAGTGTTCAGCTCAAAAAGGGCTGTGCCTAGTAAAATAAGGCTGAGATAATTTGGACCAAAAGATATTTAGAGCAGATTTTAACCAACAGTTATCTCAACTACAAAAGATCATTCATTACTGCTTTGTTAAAACGTCCAGTTTTGAGCAGGTCAGGCTACCAGAGTGAGGTAACTACAAAATATACCCCTAGGTACTGAACCAACTGATCTGTTAGACAATGTTATTTAAACACTCAAATTCTGGGGAGTTCTTATCAAAAACTACTTTAGGACTTTAACATAATATTGAGCTTTCATTTTTCAACAATAATTAGAAACCAGACAATGTTTGTCAAGGCCATTCCTAGATCACTGCATAAAAACATCAGACAACATTTTTATCTTCCCCCTTGCTTCAGCAAAAAAAAAAAAAAAAAAGGTCTTCTTTTCAACTAAAAGCCAAATCAGATCTATATTAGTATCATAAGCAATAGCACAACTTGAAACTGATCTCTAATACAGTGTAAGTTTTACAGCCTACTCTACATCTTACCATGATATTAAAATCCACATTTTTAAAACATTAATTGTTGGGACTTATTGTTCAGCTTCACCCATCACTTCTTATAAGGCTTATTAATAGACGCATACCAAGAAAAGGCTCACGACAAAATCTTTTAAGTAACTGCATTTCACTCTGAAGCAAAAGCCCACAATCAGACAAAAACATTAGGCGTTATCCTCATTCTACAAACTTCAACCTCGGTCTAAACCTCAACAGCACATTATAGCAGAGCATGACATCTGCCAGTTTCTCAGACAACCTTCTTGGTTTACTTTTTCCTGTTTTCTTCCATTACTGCCAATACAAGATGTAATTAAGATTTTGTTCACAATACTGCTGTAATGTTTTCTGTTCTTGTAGTTCAAAATTAACAATGATGTACAATAAGCACAAATTAGCATGAAAGACAAAGGAAATTAAAATATTGTGTTAAGAAACAAAGACAACAAGAGACAAGAGCTTAGATGGAAAAAAGGAAATGGAAGATATCTATGACTCAATTCCATTTTTTAGTACATTTGTGACTTGAAAAGCATCTTCAGAATCTATATACGGGGTCGGGCAAAAGTAGGTTTACAGCCCGGCCAGGCATGGCTCAGGGGTTGAGTGTCAACCTGGGATCCAGGCAATCGGGGTTCGATTCCCGGTCAGGGCACATGCCCAGGTGGCGGGCTCTATCAATGACTCTCTCATCATTGATGTTTCTGTCTCTCTCTCTCCCTTCTCCTTTCCTCTCTCTGAAATCAGTAAAGATATATTTAAAAAAAAAAAAAAAAAAGGTTTACAGTTGTTCATATGGAAAATAACACAATAATTAATAATAATACAAAAATAAACTGTGTTTTGCATACTCACAACTGTAAACCTACTTTTGCCCCACCTTGTATTTTCATATTTACAGTATTTATACTGATCCAGAACATAAACTAATTAACTAAACCAGTGCTCCCCAATAGGGATAATCCTTAGGGTTCTTGGGGAAATTTATGTAGTTTTGGTGATAGTGCTTCCGGAGCACCATGGGCACTTACTGACCAGGAGACCAGAGTTGCAGGACATCCTGTGTAGGACAGTTTCGTACAATGAAGAACTGCTCCAAATCCAACATGATTTTTAAACGTCCAATCAGACATTCTATAAAGGTAACTAAATTGTTTAAGCCTAGAACTAAACCTCCTTTCGTGTATATAAACAGAACGCTTGTTTTTACATAGTCTTAATAGCACTGAATTTTCTAAGTAAATCAAGGGAAGACTGTTTTTTAATAACTTTAGCTCAAGTTATTCAGTATCTCATAAAAGCATACCACTACAGGCAACACCATTCATAGTGTTCGCATTTCTAATAAAACACATTTTCTGACCTGCATTTTGTACTTCCCTTTACACAGTGACTCTGTACAGGGGCATGTACATGATTTCTTAATTGTCTTCTAGTCTAGTCACACATTTACATACTAAAATACATATTATTTAATTATAAGTCATTGTAATTTTCTTTCTCCTTTATGTTTCAGTTATGGCATTATATTGATATTCAATTCTGAAAATATGTAACCAGTAGATTGTATTACCTATGAAATTTCATTTCCAGATAGCAGAGAGCACAAGAGTACAATAAAAATTGTCACAGAAAGGTGAAGTTGGGTCTGAGAGAGCTGAAAATATCAGTCACACACACCATACACATACAAAAAATTTTTTAAAAAACACAGCCTGGGACCCACCCGAGATTCTGACAGCACTGACGACATAGGATCAAGTGTCTGAATCATTTTCTATCGCTGTGGAGGATTCCATTCGTAGCTATGGCTGAAAAACCACTGAGCTAGGCTAAATTAAAAAGGAGGTCATTATATATGTTGAATAGATAAAACAACAAGACACTATCCTATACTTATCATTAAACTACTGCCCTGTGGAATGAACATTTTACACTGCTGAGGTGAGGGAAGTGTTTCTAAGCAGGACATAAAACCC